AGTGAAGATGAGGACACACTACATTAGGGTGGGTCTTAAATCTGAAAATGGCATCTTTAGCAGAAGAAAATTTGGACACAGGCCAGGAGAACACCAGGTGACAAACAAGAAAGAGACAGTCTCCAACCCCAGAACAATGAAGGTCACCCACAAACACCAGAGACTGGGGGACAGACAAGAAACAGTCCCTCCATGGAGTGTCCAGAGCCGACCAAATCCGCTGGTGCCTTGGAGTGGAGCATCTGGCCTCTTGAACTGTAAATGTATCGGTTTCTGCTGCTTTAGGCTTCTGGATATGCGAGAGCTCGTCCCTGCCATCCTAAGAAACACAGCAAAAAGGAGACCTGTGAAGCGAGCTATGTGGTCCTGGGGCCCAGTGTGGCCCCCTTTGTCTGTCGCCAGGGCTCCCTACCAGCAGAAGGCCATGACTAACCAGTCCGGGGGCCTTTGGGGACCTGGCTTTCTATCCACACAACATGAAACCAGGCTGCTTGGGATATGCAAGCACAGGCAAGCCCATCCTACTCCATCCACCTCCGATCTCCGAGACGCCCTTTCTGCTCAGGCAGAGGGGCGTGCTTAAGATTTCAGCTGAAATACTAAGCTCGATGTTTCTGCTCAACAACTGCTAAAAAGAAGGCCCTAAGCATTTGGCTCCCCAAGGCCTTAGGAAGATCTGGCCAAGCTATCCGTTTTTCATTCTCTCTCCCTGGGAATCATCTCCTACCTGCATGACCCGGGGAGGCATTTCAGGGCATCCTGGACCCCTAAGGTCTGTTTGCAGATGAATAGGTGTCCACTGACACTCTGTGCTGCAGGAAGCTCTGTGCTACGCACACGCACAGGATCACGGGTAGGAAAAGCAGACAAGGCACTTTTTGTCCCAAAGTCCAGAGCTCGAGAGGGGTGCATGACTGCTGGCAGTTGCCCTGACAATCGCTACGAGATGCAAGAAGTGAGGATGTCAGCAACACTGGCTCCTTCTGGAAGCTCCAGGTCGATGTGCTCACTCCCTCTCTCCTTCCTCCCTCCTGGCTTCCAGTGGCTGCCAGCAGTCCTGGGCCTGTGGGCATCCTTCTCCAGGTGACCCTCCTTTCTGGGCCCTATGTCTTTGCCTCTCCTCATGACAACAGCCATTGGATGAACAAAACCCCACTCTGAATTGATTTCACCATCAAGACCCTTCACTAATTACATTTCCAAATGACATCATATCCTGAGGATGCAAAGTCACATCCCAGGTGTGTGAACTGGGGATGGGGTGGAAGAGACGTGTACAGTTGAACCCAACACAGACAATTAGAGATGCTAACGCAATAAGCATGAGAAACAGCAATGGCAGGTTACGCCTGAGGCATTGAGAAAGTTTGTTAGAGGAGTTCACATGGAGCTGCGATCTAAACAGTGACCTTAACATTTCCTGCTGAGACAGGAAGTGGACAGCATGCCAGGAAGGAAGAGCTCATTTGACAGGCAAGGGGGAGGCAACAACAGGGCTGGTCGAACACGGGAGGGCCTGGGAAAGGCATGAGCTTGTACGATGTCATCAGAGCCGCAAATGATGACGCCCTTAGGATGACAAATGCTTTAGAAAAGCTGGATGTGGTGGGCTGTTTCTAGAAGGCTCACCTTGGCTGAGGACAGGAAGATGGAATGCAGGGGGTAAGACCAAAAGCAGGAAGTCCCTCACACACACACACACACACACACACACACACACACACACACACAGGTCCCTGGCTCAGGGTGATGGCTCCTGGCTCAAGCATCAGAGCGGCCACAGCTTGGGAGAGGCCCACATGTCCTCCTAAGATGCTAGGAATGATTCTCATGAGCCCAAAGCCAGCACTGAACATGGGCAATGGGACCTTGCAGGACAGCCCGGGCAACGCTGGCCCAAGAAGCAAACCCCAAAGCTGGGAAACACTGGCAATTGCCCTACGTGCACACCACAGCCAGACCTTTCAACACTTACTCAGGCAACCTGCCACACAGACCCAAGAGAGGCAAGTGCCCCTTGCACCTCCTAAGCATCCAGCATGCCTTAAACTTTAAGTCTTGGCTGCTCGTGAGGAAGCGTACACACCTCATGGCTACTCTTTTTTTTTTCGTCTTATTTTATTTTGATGATCTTTACCTAGCTGGTTAGGGTACAAAGGGTCAAGGGCTATAGGAAAGTGTGTAAGACCATTGTTTCCACATTCTCTCTCTTTGGGGGGGGAAGGGAGGAGATAAAGGGAGAAGCCCCACTCAGTCTCCCACCCATCCCAGGGTCCCGATATGGGGCATGCTCCGAGGGCACTGCTCAAGTTGTTTTAATAGTTCACAGTTCTGTATTGCTGTCAATCTCGCCACTCCAAGCACAATGAAATCTCTCTAGAATCCACTGGCTGACATAGTCCACCTTAGAGTCTCCATTTGCCCTGATTTTCACTGCCAACACTTGGCTGGGGTAGTTGATCGATTTGTTCTGTCCTCCATCCTCTGTTGTAGTACCAGGTGTCCTCTGCAGCCTCCAATGGACTGCCATATCCTCCATGTGTTTCTGAATATGCTGTCTACTGCTCCGTCTGAGCCTGAGGAGGCTCATGTTTGATATTTGCACTCCATGGTCAGACTATGGAACTGCACTTCTCTTCATAGTTGGGGTTCTTTCTGAGTCCAGCAGTTCAGTTGGGTGAATCCCCAAAGAAACTTCTTCTGAGGTGATCCCAGACCTGATTCTTGTATGTGAATGCCAGTACAGGGTCCAGCAAAGTCTGTCTCCCCAATCAGCTTATGCATATGCTGGTGGTTATAATTGCTGGGTCAGTTCTGTTTCCAGACCTGTCTTCCACACGAACCAATGGGTGTTGCAGTCCAGCCCGATCCTGCCCACCACACACTCAGACCTCACACAAATCAGTGGAAGTGCAGCCTCGTCAGAATGACCCGCAATAACTCCCACGAGGCCTGCCCCCTGCCCTGGTTCCCATGCTTGCCAGTGTGTACAACAAAATGGTTCAGTCTGTCCCATATCCCATTCAGCTTTCATATGTATCAATGGACTTCGAAGTCTAGTTCAACTCAACCAACCCTACCATCCAACCCACACATGTGCCGCTGGGTGCCATTCTGTCTAGCCATGCTTGCCCCAGTCCTGGTTCTCATGCTCACCAGATGGAGTGGCAACCCAAGAGGGAGGTGCCCACTGTTTCCCTACAGTGCCCACTCCCAGATCATGCACTCTCCAGGTGGTTCTGCAGTTTGTCTTGACAGAATTAACCCCCGTGCCAGCATTTGCCAGTTGATGCTGTGGCAAAGCCCAATCAACCCACACTCACTCTGACTTATGCATGTACCAGTAGGAACAGTTTGCCCAGTCTGGCTTTTCCCTGATCCAGTTCACATGAGGCCAACAGGTGTTGTAGCCCTGCCTGGCCTGGTCTGCTCCCATCCCAACTCACGCTCTTCAGTGGGAGTGGTGGTCCAGCAGGGGAGCTCCATGTAGTCCCCTTAGTGGCTTTGCCCCCCTCCTCCCCTGGTTCCCACGTGTGCTCGTTGGGTGCTGCAGCCCAGTCTGGCATGATCTGCCTTGCCTCAGGATTTGTTGATGGGTGCTGTAGCCTGGCCGAGCCTGACCCACCCCCAATTCCAGCTCATCCTGGTGGGGGCTACAGCCTAGCCTAGCCCAGTTTGCACCCAGACCTAGCCCTAATGTGTGCTGGTATGTGTTGCGACCATACTTGGCCTGACTCACACTCTATTCTAGTGCTTATATCCACCAGTGGGTGATGTGAACTGGCCCAGCCGGGTCCACCTCCGACCTATGCCAAATGTATGCTGCTGGGTACCATTTCCTGGCCTGGTCTGGGCCGCTCCCTATCGTGGTTCCAGGACCAGACACTATAGTCATTTGGGGAATGAAGCAGTACACGGAATAAAGCTTGGTGTATGGGAAGGGAAGCTCTTAACCTGTTCATTTCATTCAGCCTTTCAAATAAATCTTTTTTTTTTTTTTTAAAAAAAAGACATTTTTATTGGAAAGTCAGATATACAGAGAGGAAGAAAGACAGAGAGGAAGATTTTCTATCTAATGATTCACTACCCAAATGACCTCAGCAGCAGGAACTAAGCCAATCCAAAACTAGGAGCCAGGAGCTTCTTCCGGGTCACCCATAAGGGTGCAGGGTCCCAAGACTTTGGGCCAACCTTGACTGTTTTCCCAGGCCACAAACAGGGAGCTGGATGGAAAGCAGAGCTGATGCAACATGAACTGGTGACCATATGGGATCTCAGCGTGTTCAAGGCAAGGATATGAGCCACTAGGCTATCATATTTGGCCCATCAAATAAATCTTTAGAAATGTTTGGGGTCAGCACAGTGTTGTAGAATGGTAACCTCTGCCTGCAGTGGCAGCATTCTATATGAGTGCCAGTTCATATCCCAGATGCTCCACTTCCCATCCAGCTTCCTGCCTATAGCTTGGGAAAGCAGCAGAGGATAGCCCAAGTTTTTGGAACCTTGAATCCATGTGGGAGATCTGGAAGAAGCTCCTGGCCCCTAGCTTCGAATTCAGCCTAATTCTGGCCTTTCCAGCCATTTGGGGAGTGAACCAATAGATGAAGGCTTTCTTTCTCTGGGTCCCTCCTTGTCTCTCTGTTGTAATTCTGCCTTTCAAATCAGACTACATATTTAAAAATATATATATATCCTGACAAAGGCCACCAATCCCTGGCAGCCCCCAGGCTGGATTCTATATACCCATCCGTGACTTCCAGTGCTCGTGGCGCAGGCTCCAGGGTTGTAATTATCCCTTTGCTGTACCTGATCCTCTCGGCCAGATGGTGAACCCTTGGGGGTCTGCCTGTCGTGCTCAGCAATGAGCACACAGAAACATCAGCACTATATGAAGGTTACCTTAAGTCACCATCTCATGATTGGCCACAGACCAACACCCTCCACAGGGTTCCCCCGCACCAGAATGTGGGGGAGGCTCCCCAGCAGACCCCAAAACTCACCTCATTCCTTGCGAGGCCATCTCGTCGAGGTTGGCTGTGTCCTTTGTTTCGGCCCAGTTGGCTCCCAGGTCACCCCAGCCCATATCATCAGCCAAAATGATCACGAAGTTGGGTCTCTGGTCTCTTGTTTTCGCACGGATGTGAAAATCCACAAGAGGATACAGGACGCCTGAGAGGCTCACTCCCACCAGCAACACCTTGAGGGAGAGGCAGCCCATGGCGTAAAGGGCGGGGCTTCCGGCTGTCTACAGTGACTGGCAGCGGTGGAGCAGATGGGCGGGGCCCTTTCCCAAGAGCTCCCTTTCGATTCTCTTGCAATGCAGGTGGTCTCTAGGGAGCTGGGCTGCGGTCTGCAAGCAACTCCCAGGGGGGCAGCGGTGGTGGCATTGGTGGCGATGGCCACAGGGATTGTGGAGCTAATGAGACAAGGCTTGAATCTTAATTCAGGGGTTGCGAAAGGTATAAGCCCTGTCTTGGCACGCCTGGGTTCTGTAGATGTCTCCCCCGGCGGCTCAACACAGAGGTTGGGTTCGACAGTTAGATGCGCTGTCAGCGAGGTCCTGGGTCCCTCAGAGAGCCACCCCTCCGAGTGTAGGGACCACAGGGTGGGCCTCCCATCGGTTGGAGACCCCACCGGGTGATTACAGGGAAAAGCTTGCATCTGCAGAACACCTGCATGTTCTAGAAGCCACAGGCAGCCCAGAATGAGTTCCCGAGTTCCAGATGGCTGGAGGCTTCATGTTTCTCTCAGGTTTCCTGAAAGAACAAAAATGGACAAGAAGACAGAGTTGAAACTGCCATGGCAGCTGTGTTTTACTTAGTAGCTTAGCAAATAATCGCTTTTCCGTGTTAACAGATGTTTTCCTTCTTATTCGAATATTTAACCAGCTCATCAATTTCTTCACCTTGAGAAGCCATGATGATGAGGCCATCTGTGACTGACCTGTGGTGAAGGGTTGGAGGTCACCGGAGATGGCCTGTCTCAGCCCTCACCATGCATGAGCGGAGTCTGAAGGCCCAGAACGACAGCTGGGACAGACAGCAGCCCCAAACCATGCTAAAACTCTCACGCTCCCTTCCTCCAACCTCCATCCTTGATTCACAAGAAATTCCCACATTAATCGTGTCGTTGCCAACCTTAGACTTCTAGAAGGAAAGAGTAAGGCCCTTATTACCAAGACAGGATTTTATTGAACAGCTACCGTCACCTAGCATGTTCATCCATGCTTCTGGATAGAAATTCATTTGTGGGCCCTGCATGAAGGCTTAGTGGCTAAATCCTTGCTTTGCACACATCGGGGTCTCATACAGGCACTGATTAATGTCCCAACTGCGCCACTTCCCAATCAGGCTCCAGCTTATGGCCTGGGAAAGCAGTGGAGGATGACCCAAAGCCTTGAGACCCTGCACCCCCATTGGAGACCTAGAAGCAGCTCCTGGCTCCTGGCTCCGGATCAGCTCAGCTTTGGCTGTTGTAGCCACTTGGGGAGAGAACCAGTGGATGGAAGATCTTTCTCTCTGCATCTCCTCTCTGTAAGTCTATCTTTCCAGTAAAAATAAATACCCCTTTTAAAAAAATTAATTTGAAGAAAAATGTTTTTAAAAGTTAGTCTTAGAATCCAGGTGACTAATACATGGCTTGCTCATCATAAACCTCTTTCAATTTCATGTTTATAATTTTCACAATATGTTAAAACAAAGTTTCCAAACAATGTGCATCCCTTTTCATCCTGATTGTGCAATTGTATCTAAGATTTATTTATTTACTTGAAAGGCACAGGGACAGAGAGAGTGAGAGAGAGCTACTGACTCACCCCTTGAACACTGCAACAGGCCAAATCCAGGAGCTCAGCTGGGGGTAGCAGGTGGGTGCAAGGGACCCAAGTCCTTCAGCTGCCTCCAAGGAAATGCATCAGCCGGAAGCTGGGTCGGAACCAGGATTCAAACTCAAGCACTGCTCTGATGCTAAATTTTAATAAGACAATCTAAGGACAATGAATTTGCCAGGGAGTTTATATTTGTCAAAATGTGGCTCTCACAGACAAGGCGGGACCTAAGAGTCATTTCTTTTTTTAGTGATTTACTTGGAAGGAAGTTGCACACCCACACAGTCCATCTGCTGGTTCACTCTCCAAATGACTGCAGCAGCTGGGGCTGGACCACGCCCAAATCAGGAGCTGAGAACTCCCTCTGGGTCTCCCACTGGGTGGCAGAAGCCTGAGTATTTAGGCCATTCCCCTGCTTTCCCAGGGACGTCAGCAGGGAGCTGGACGGCAAGTGGAGCAGGCAGGAGTTGAACCAGCACTCCGACACAGGACGCCAGCATCACTGGCAATAGGTGCAGCCTCAACACTCAGCCATCATTGAGCCACACCACCAGTTCCCCAGATCTAGATGGGTTTTTTTGGTTGTTTTGGGGTTGGTTTTTTTTTTTTTTTTTTTGGTGTTTTAAGAATTATTTACTTTTATTGGAAAGGCAGGTTTACAGAGAGATGAAACAAATGGCCACAACAACCAGAGCTGAGCCAATCTGAAGCCAGCAACCAGGAGCTTCTTCCTCATCTCCCACACAGGTATAATAAGGGCCCAAGACTTTGGGCCATCCTTCTGTTGCTTTTCCAGGCCACAAGCAGGGAGACGGATGGGAAGTGGAGCGGCCAAGACAAGAACCAACATCCAAAAGAGGTGCCAGCGCTTGAAGAGGGAAGGATTAGCCAACTGAGCCATCATGACACCCCGCCCCCAACACTCCACATTCATATTTCTAACAGCCTCCAGAGTGAAGTCTTGGATACACTTTGACTAAACAGGTATCTGAAAACAAAAACTTCATGAGTCTGGTCCTTGAGAAAAACAGAAAAAAGAAAAAAGAAACTTCACCTAATCAGAAATGACTCAGCTTTAGCCGACAAACACAAAGTAACACATCAGACTGAGTTCTGAAAGACAGGAATTGAAAGTCATACTTCCCATTGTGGAGAGCAAATAGAACTGTGAAGAAAGCCTTGTTCCCCTCTGAAGTTCTAAAATGGCAAGTTTAGTAAGGACACAGAGAGTTGAAATTCTACAGCTTAGATCAAATAAAAAAATTCAGTTGAACATTTCACCCACAAAAGGCATTACAAGACAACCAATTAGTAACATACAAAGACGGCAGCAGGACTGGGTTTATGACACATATCACACTGTGCACACCTGTAGCAGCCCACGGGTCAACCCACGTGCATGGGGTGCTTACAGATGTATTCTGGAAGGTCCAGACAAACACCAAAGGATGGACAGATCCGTACTTAACCAAAACAAAAGGCAGCCCAAGGAAGCTCTCACGGGCATCTGGAACCAGCAACATCAATTGCTCGGAAATGCAAATTCTTCCGTTTTCCAAAACAAGATTTATTTCAAACTCAATTAGACTCCAAGGTATTTGTTGGTCGTGAGGCTCCAAAAACCACCACAGAGGCCTTCTTAAAGCTGCTCACCTTGGAACACTAGGGCGGCCTCATGCCTGCTCAGTAATCCAGTTCGGAATGACCCAACATACTAGACTGCTGGGGGGCTCAAAATCACTCCAACAAAGAAGCTAAAATTAAGGTGCAATCATAAATAGGCTGATTTTCTTCAGCATTTTGCGATAAAACATTCCTCTGAGGATTTTCAACAAGAATCATGAACACAGTACTTCAAATGTTTCATGGCGTGGAAATAAGCTAACTTGGCCAGCACATCACGGCGTGACCCTTCTCACCCACACCTCCAGGGGGACATTTAATCCTTTCCCCATGTATTGATTTTAACACAGGCAAAGAGGCAAACCAGGCATTCAAAGAACCGACTCCAAGCCACAAACTTTGATTGGAATCCAAGCTGAGACTCCGAGCTGAAAAGCCCTAAAGACTCTGGCCTCAGACCTTATCTGATGCTTCTTTCCCCAATTTTGCTTTTAAGTATCATTCTCAGATCGGAGAGTGGGCAGTGGGACCACAAGGCAGATCCATTCCTCCAGGCTGGGGACGCATCAAGAAGTCTGTGGTCACAAGACAGGCCCCTTCCTTCTGGGGAGGGAACCTGACTTACTCAACAAATCCCACCACAAAGGGCCCCCCTGCACCCCAGAGCAGAATTGACTGTGACAGGTGCCTGCTGAGCACATGGAGACGAGTGAACACCAACTGCCCATCAGCTTTTGGGGAGGGGAGTCCTTTTCTCCAAGGTCCCATTCTAAAATAGGGCTGGCTGCTAGGTAAGCACAAATTCGACCGCTCCCAGGAGGCAGGCTGTAGGCCCAGGAGGCCTGAGGAGCATGTGGGATAAGGACAACTCGGAGTTGTGTTGAGCAGGGTCAGACTAACCCAGCACTGCAGGTCTCTGGGCCTCCTGAGCCACTTGCTGCATCATGGGACCCTGGCGCACCATAGGCCCCCTGTGGCCAAGAATCCTCCCAGAGAACCCTGCAAACAGCTGAAAAAACAAGAAGGTCAGGCAGACCTCTCTGGCATGGGGCTCTGTTGGTTTTCCAGAGAGAGAAAAGCTTCTGATGAGCTGAAGCCAAAAAAGACAAGGGAGCCAGTGGGGACCCCAGAGGGAGCGCAGCTCCGGTTGCAGAGTCCCGGGGTTTCACCCGCATGATCAGAACTCGGTCTCCGCGTCGGCCAGGAGTCACATGGGTCTCAAGCAGGGCCTTGGGCGTTGGCTAACTCTCCCCTGCATTCAGTCACTGGCCCATCAAATATGTACTGAGTGCTAAGTCTTAAACCAGGCACCGTGCACAGAGCCGCGACCAGAACCGCCACCCTCACGCCAGCTCCTTTTCTAAGGTGGGGCCGGGTTAGGGGTGAAGTCAGTCAGGGTAAGCGCCAGAGAGGAACATCAAAGCCGGAAGGGGTGCATGGCTGTGGAGGTGAGCAGGTGCACAGCCGAAGATGCCCAAGGGTCTGCAGGAGATGAAGGAATTCACTCGGTTGCACATTCACAAGTGTGTGAGGCAGGGCATGTGGTAAGGGAAAAAGTTGGAAACCTACTCCATCAGACCAGGTGAGAGACAGAGCTGGTGAGGCAGCACCCCCTCTCAGGTGGCCACCCTGTACTTACCAAGACCCAAGCAGTGAGTGTGTCCTTAAATTGTGGCTCACCTTGGTCTAGGCCCAGAGGAACAGGAAAACCCAGTTCCCATCAGAGGCAGAACACAGAGTGATTCAACATCTACAAGTAATAACCTCACAGGTCCTTTCTTCTCCCCTACATCCAAGCCTATCAGTACGGGGCTGACTTAAGTTGGATGGCTTTCATAAGAGTGTGGGGAGGGGCCAGCTTTGTGATGCAGCAGGTTAAATAGAGTCATTGTAGGCACCCGCCCCAGGAGCTCCACTTCCAACTGGGCTCCCTGCGAGTGCACCTAGCAAAGCAACAGAAGATGGCCCAAGAGCTTGGGCCCCTCCACCCTGCACCTGGATGGAGTTCTAGTCTCCTAGCCTTGATCAGACCCAGACACGGCCATTGTATCCATTTGTGGAGTGAGCCTGTGGGTAGATTTCTCTATATATAACTTTGTTTTTTGAATCAATTAAAAAAAAGTCTTAAAAACGAAGAAACAAACACAGTCACCTACTTACAATAGACACATGATGGGTGTCTGCTCTCCACCACTCTGCCTGCCACTGGAAGACTACTGTATCATTGAGAAGACAATACTAGATGTCATACAACCCCACCCACAGACACTTCTACATGAGCCTCTTCAGAAGACAACAATTCCTTTCAAATATAATTCCACTAATACCCTCCCTTGAAAAATAAAAGAGGGGCAAGGAGTTAGCTGAGTGCTTCAGGAGGCTCCTGTCCCACGTGCAGGTGCCCCAGTTCTATGCCTGGCTCCTACTCCCGACATGTTTCCTGCCAGTGCAGAGCTAGGGTGATGACCCCAATGCCAGGTTTCCTGCCATCTGCCTGGGAGACACAACTTGAACTCTTGGCTCTGGCTGCTGCAGACATGTAAAGAATGAAATGATGGTAGGAGCTCTCTCTTAAACATTTTGAAAAATGGGACCTGGCGCGATAACCTAGCGGCTAAAGTCCTCACTCTGAACACACCAGGATCCCATATAGGCACCGATTCTAATCCTGGCAACCCCACTTCCCACCCAGCTCCCTGCTTGTAGCTGGGAAAGCGGTAGAGGACAGCCCAAAGCCTTGGGACCCTGCACCTGCGTGGGAAACCCACAAGAAGCTCCTGGCTTCGGATTGGTTCAGCTCCAACCGTTGCAACCACTTGGGGAGTTAATCAGTTGGAGGATCTTCCTCTCTGTCTCTCCTCTTCTCTCTCTCTATATATATATATCTGACATTGCAATAAAAATATTTTAAAAGTTTTTAAATTAATAATTTCTATTATCATCCAAAATCCAGTGTTTAAATGTCCTCCACCAGCTCATTTTTTTCTTTAGAGTTGATTTGTTCCAATCAGGATCCAAACAACATCTCCCACACATTGCATCTGATTCTCTTTCGACTCAGATCCTCTCTTGCCCCTCTCCGGCAATATATCTGTAAATACACTGGGCACTCGTCCCGTAAAGTGTCTTTTTGGATTTAGCTGACTGCATTCCCCAGTGTCATTTAAGACATGCCCCAGATGCCCGCTGTCCGTGCCAGCTAGTGGGTAGATCTAGAGGTGAGAACAGATGTGGCTCTGTGGGGCGGAGGGGAAGGCCCATCTCCCATGCCTCATCTCCTATGGCAAGCTTGATTGGTGTTCACGTGTCGCAGCTTCATGTCTTCCTTTGTCGTCTCTGGATGACCAGAGGGAAACTTCTCTGACTACCTCGTGTGGTTTTGTGGATTTATCCTGGCTCCAGATCTGTGCCAGCTCTACAGGAAAATATTGTAGCTGTGGGCTGCATGTCTGTATTGCCCCACCCTACCCCAGATGTGTGTCTGCGAGCTCTGACTCCCATTGTGAAGGACTTCAGAGGGGCTGCTCTGGGTGGGACCTGGGGTCCTGAGAGTGGGGGGCCTGGTGACTGAACAAATGCATTTCTAAGAGCGGGCTCTCCCTTTCCTGCGTTACGATCCAGCTGGCAGTAAGTGAGCCCTCACCAGGAACTAGATCGGCCAACTTGGACTTTCCGAGGTCTCCAGAACTGTGAGGAAAGGCCATTTAACATTGTGGAAGCCTCCGGCTGCGGTATTGTACTGTGGCACTCCAAGCTCAAACAGACCCTAAGAATCGCCGGCGCCGAGGTCAAGGGGAGGACAGAAGTAAGAACAAGATCAATGAAGCGCTTACTGGGCCAGTTCTGTCTCTCAGGAACTTGAGTTTGAGGACTTGCAGCTTGCGTTCAGCACTCAGCACACAGCCACCTGCTAGCTAGTGCTCTCAACGTGACACTGAATTTTTTCTCTGCTTTATTCCTCACTAATTTCAAAAAACAGGGTGGGGGGGGGGAGGAATTCAGTAAGTGTTGCCTCAACTGGTTAATCCTTCTCCTTCAAGTGCACGGGGATCCCACATGAGTACTGGCTCCTGTCCAAGCTGCTCCATTTCCCATCCAGCTCCCTGCCTGAGGCCTGGGAAAGCAGTAGAGGATGGGCCAAAGCCTTGGAACCCCGCACCTGCGCGGGACACCTGGAAGAAACTCCTGGTTCCTGGCTTTAGATTGGTGCAGCTCCAGCCACTGTGGCCAATGGGAGAATGAAACAGCAGATATAAGATCCTTCTCTGTAAACCTGCCTTTCCAATAAGCTTAAAAAAAGAAAGAAAGAAAAGAAAAGAAAAGCAGGGCCACTTCCTCAACTCCAACACCACATGACAATGAAATACCCCAACAGAAGTCCTTAAGTACTAAGCCATTGTGATCCCATCTCCCAAGTGTTTTGAGGACAAAGAGATAAATATGAAAACACTTTGAAAAAACTGTTGTGCGAGCTCAAAAAGTTACTAAAACTCCTATGGCAGTCATGTCAAGTGTGAAGAGCGGACTTGACTCCCTTGCAGCTTTCACTGAGGCCGGAGGCTGCCGGCGTGCTCCGTGCTGGCCCCAGAGCCGGAGGAGCAGAAGCCGCAGACACCAGAGTCTCCACCACCACGAGCAAAGTGAAGTCATTCCAGTTTGCATTTTCCAAGTTCCAAACTACAGTTCCCGATTACACAATCCTGGGGCTGTTTGTGCCATCCTGCCTAAGCCTGGGCCAGAGTCTGGCGACAGCTGGCAAACACAGAGCACACTGCCTTTCAGCCAATCTGGTTTGGAATATTGTAACACCATGAGGTCAGGAAGTGGGTGGGTGTGCACGGGAATCTCCCCTCTGCTGACGTGAAATGGAAGCGGGGGGTACATTTTTGCACTATCAGAAACAGCCACACATACCGTTTGTCCACCTGACTGCAATGCCTGAGCTACAAGGAGCCACAAGCCTAACATGTGAATTGTGTGTGGCCCGGGGCATCTGTATGTTGTACGTACTACTTAACTCGAGTATCTTGGCCAGCCAATATTTGCAGAATGACTACAGGGGAAACAAACGCTGACCCAGCCTGCTCCACCCGGCCCTGAAACCCAGCCTCGGCTCCTCATTCCTCCATTCTCAGATATCCTCTCTCCTTCTTCCTCCAACACTCGCACTCTCATTTTCACCTGTCACACGGCACCTGGAGAGAGGCTGTGACAGGTGACACTCCCACGTGCGTCCTGTCTTCCCACTAAGGGCAAACACTTGGAGTGAAAGAGACCACAGCCCACACTGCTACCTCCTGCAAACCCTCAAATCCGGGTATGGGTTTTGAGATCTGGGAGCTGACAGCATTCAGTGGAACTCACAGGTGGTCTGTGGAAACGCAGGAAATGAACAAAGGGGAGGAGAAGGAAGGTGGGCAATCCCCCAGTCCAGTCCTGCCAGGTACCCGAAACAGCTCACCCAACAGGACTGGCATCCCGTACTACCGACTGCGGGGCGGGGCTCCTCCTGGCCTCTCGACCACAGCATCATCCTCGAGCACTCTGCCACCCTTTGCCAGCCTCCTGTGGACACCTGGAAAAGCATGGACACTTTTGTCCTAAAGGGACAGAGCAGTGCAGCCGTGAGAGCCAGCCTCTGTGGGCGGAGCTGCTTTTCACTCTTTGGGCCATGGGGGGGGGGGTACTTCAACACCTGTCCAGGGAAAAGCGGACTGATGCCCGTGGGCCCATCCACTGCACTTGCCAACCTACTCAAGGGCTTTCGTGATTTATGACCATGTCCTATAGCCTCATGGGACATGCACCTGCTCCTAAATGCAACGGGATCTACCTGATATCTGAGAACTTGGGTCTGTTTTGTAACAACTTATGCAACAGGCTGGAGGAGACACTTTATAGAAGCCTCCCCAAGACATGTTCTCCAATTTTTTCCCCTCCCTTTGTAAGCAGCAAGAGGATGTCAAAACTACAGGAGCAGTAAATTATGAAGGCTGAGGAATCTGGGAATGAAATCTAGTGTTGAAATCAAATAGAAGTTACTGCAGAGTTAATGAGCCACACCCGGCAATCCGTCATCAATGTGGCACTGAGTGGTAACGAGGCGTGAGAGATTACAACAGGGTCCCTGCCCCCACGGGTGGGGAGGTGACCTCACTGTCCCCAAATACAGCATGCCCTGCCTGCCTGCATGGGCCACTTGCGCATCATCCCCTAAGCCCCACCAGCCAGTCATACTCAAGTCTTTGCTGCCCTTTGTAGGGGTGACCCCACTCCTAATCCTAACAAGCCACAGGGTAGAGCTGAATGTTTCCGAGTAGCAAGCCACCCTGGACACTAAACCTCCCACGCAACATCCCCACAGATGGGTGTTATCTGGAGCTGTACCCCAGATGCCGTCCCCCTCAAACACACTGCCACCACCATCACACCCTACTCTGCAGGTGACACCAAGTGGGGGGCGGTGGGGGGCTGCCACACGGTAACCCCAGCCTCTCCAGCTGGAACAGCAGCTCCCTAAGAGGTCCCTAGCATGGCTCTTGGCCAAGCTCTCAGCCCATGGAGAAGCATGATTCAAATCTGAAAGCAACAGAAGGGCTTCAATGAGACACGAGTTGCTCACTGAGACCATAGAAGAGTAGGTGGGAGGACAAGTGGGCAGGCCGAGTAAGCAGCGCCTCCCTTAAAAGCCCCCCTCCCAACATCCCACCCTTCTTGAAGACTCGCACCCCCAGCAAACGGGCTTGCAGGCCCCTCCCCTCTGAGTGCCAGGCAAGGTTGCTTTCAGTCCACTCACCCACGTTCAAGTTCTCCCAGGCTGGTAAATGCAGTGAGCTTATTTGCAAGCCAGGGTCATATCTGCCTAGCAACCCACCAGGAAGACTTGAGGGCCCCTAAGCGTGGACAGGGAACGGGCAGGCCAAGTCCACACAAAAGGTTCTGTTCTCATGCAAATGACCTGAGGCCAGAGGGCTAGGAGAGAGGGAGCTGCAGGGCTCTCCAGGGCCAGTTTTTTCCCAAGAAGATGCTGGAGGGTCTTTTTCAGGGCATCCTTATAGCCTCACCCCCAAGCGAAGCAGCAGGGGCCTGGGAGGTCAGAGAGGGTTCAAACTGCCGCTCAGCTTCCAACAGACACAACAGAGGCAGCGAAGAGGAGCGCTGGGGCCTTAAACTTAATTTCCTGATTTTTCTGGTCCTGGACTCCGGACACCAAAGGTTCTTTTGTTCTTGTTTAGAACTCCACAGAGTTAGTTTTGTTTGGGGGGGTTGATTAGCATGGTAATGCTGTGCTTACCCCGGAGAAGTGAAAAAAAGCACGGGCTTTCACGCTCGGTCTCACTGGGATGGAGGGAACAAGGTGAAGCCAGTTTCTAACCAGGACGGGCAAAAAGAATCGGTCTGTGGCTAGCAAGGCTGTGCTGAGGCTAGGTTCACAGCCACCTCCTTAGCCAAGGACCACAGGGGCTGCTGGGGGCCGAGCTCTAGTTGCCAAGAGGACCAGAGCATCTCCATAAACGCAGAACCCTGGGAGATTCCCTCCAGCACTGCATGCCTCCAATTTGCTCCTCTGGAAAATGGGAACAATGAACAGCCACAGTAAATGAGTGCCTGGGATGGAGGCCAGCCACAGGGCACGAAGCTGGCATCCCGTGTTAAGAGTGCCAGTCACAATCCTAGCTCCTTCCTACTAACGCACCTGCGAGGGCACGGCAGCCCACACACCTGGGCACCTGCCAGCCATGTGGAAGACCAGGACAGACTTCCAGACTGAACCTATCACAGCTATGCAGGGAGTGAGACAACACTTAGAAGATCTCGTCTTTCCCTCTCTGTCACACACAAAAAAATATTTTTAAAACCTTTCTTTAAACAAACATCACAAGGATGGGACTTAGTTTTTGGTGTTTGTCCCAATCCTATCATAATTAGTATTAACAAACACTCACAATGCTCTACCAGCAATAGTAACATGTTATTCGAATAATGACTACAATTAGGCTTCGCCAACAGACAGGCTGCCTCTGGTCAAATACCCAGATGTGACTCTCTAGTCATTGCAGTCCTTGACCCAAAGGCTCCAGACATTGCCTAATTTTGAAAATCAAGAGGCTGGGACAGGCACAGTGGCAAAGCAAACTAAGCCCTGAGCTGTAGCACTGATATACCAGATGGGTGCTGGTTCGTGTCCCAGCTGCTCCATCTCTGATCCCACTCCCTGCCTATGGCCTGGGAAAGCAGCAGAGGATGGCCCAAGGCCTTGGACCCCTATACCCATGTGGGAGACTCAGAGGAAGCTCCTGGCAAAGGATCAGTTTAGCTCTGACCACTACAACCAACTGGTGGGTGAACCCTGAGATGGCAGATCTCAGTCTCTCTTTCTATCTGTACATTCTGCCTTTCAAATAAAAATAAATCCTTTTTAAAAAGGCAGCATTTCTGGGAGCTGGCGTGGTAGCCTAGTGGCTAAAATCCTCACCTTGCACAAGCCAGGATCACATATGGGCACTGGTTTGTGTCCCAGCAGCCCTGCTTCCCATTCCAGCACCCTGCTTGTGGCTTGGCAAAGCAAGAGAGGGCAGCCCAAAGCCTTGGGACCTATATCTGCGTGAGAGACCTAGAAGAGGCTCCTGGCTCCTGGCTTCAGATCAGCACAGCTCCAGCTGTTGCAGCTACTTGGAGAGTGAATCAACGGATGGAAGATCTTCCTCTGTCTCTCCTCCTCTCTATCTGACTTTCCAATTAAAAAAATGTTTAAAGAATAAAAGCAGCATTTTTATGTCATTTTAAATGACTATTCAGGAATCAAGTTAATAGAATAGAATAGAATAAGGACATGTTTAAACAGAAACATTAGCCAGTGTGAAGCAGAGAAAATACATTCCAGGACTCGGGAGAGACAGAACAACAGCAGAGGGGCACCTTGAGACTGATAGACACAGGAAAGCAGCGAAAACAAGGGTGTGGTTTGCAGTGACTGATAACCCAGCTGTATTCAGTGAGCGGTGACTTGAACTGCACCAGCAGCTGGAACTCCACCAGCAACAAGGTGGGAAGGGGTTTTCCTTGGGAGCTCAGGAGGTGAACCCAAAGAACTACCCTTCCTGACGGTCTGTTTGATTTGACCAGGAGCAGAGACAGAGTGGCAGATCCCAGACTGATGGTGCCAGAACAGCATGGATTTCACAGTCCAGTCTGCCCCTTGGGAGTGATCTCATTTCTGGCTCAGTAAACTGCAACAATGTGGCATCGTACAGGTTCCACCCAAGGTCAGAGTAGATGTCAGACCTGACAGCTACCAGATCAAGAACTCTAGTAGTGGCACATCAGGTGCCATTTTGTACAGTGTGGCAAAAGCCTGAGACTGCAGGGACAACAGTGAGTGAGCTGTACATGCGCTGAGCTCGACAAGAACTCACTGAGCCCATTGCATTGTGTTGTGCCGGTCCCACAGGGAAAATAATACTGACTATGGCACTGTACAGGTCAAAAGAGGTCCGTGTGGCACCCAGACCTGACGTCCAACAGGTTCCAGCAAGATCAGCGCCACCAACAACTCAGCCATTTAGGACACCTGGTGTCTCCCTAATCCTGGGACCTGCTCCAACAGGAAGTAGGAGAAAGGTTGTACAGACAATGGTGCAGCCTCAGCACTGTATCACAGGAGGCGCAAAGTGTGGAGCCATGAGCTGGGACTACGGAGACCATGGTGGAAATCCAAATAAGAACCCAGACCTGGAACTAGTTGGAGGGAGTGACACAAGTGACTGCAAACAAAGAGCCATAAGTAAAACTGCAATAAGTAAAATCGAACTGTAGACCTGTGGGTGACACAGCTTAGAAACCTGCCCCAAGGAGGACTCTGCTGGCCAGAAGAACAATGACCAAGAGCAAAAGAAGACACAGAGGCACAACGAATATTACTGGAGACTCCCCTGCAAAGGAACAAAAAAAAAAGCTTTTGCCAACCCCAACCTCAGAGTTCACTGTGGAAGACATCAAGAAAATGGGGGATACAGAAATCAAAACACTTGTTATAAAGCTTCTTAACAATGAGAAGTACATAATACAAGAGTTCAAGCAATTTAAGGAATATGTCACACAGGAATTAATCTAATGAAAGCTGGTATCTCAGAAATGAAGAATACAGTGGAGCAAATTAAAGTACAGTGGAGAGTCTCCAAGATACAATGAAGGAGGCAGAAGAAAGAATCTCAGAATTGGAAGATATTTCCTGTCACCAGGGGAAACAAAAAGCTGGAAGCAGAGCTGGGTCAAGCTTTAAAAAAAAAAAGGTATTTAAGAATTGAAAGATACTATTAAAAGGGCAAATGTAAGAGTTATGGGAGTCTCAGAAGGTGCAAAAAGAGAAACTGGGGTTAGAAATGTATTCAATTAAATAATAAGGGAAATTTCCCCTAATCTAGAGAAAGAATTGGGAAACAAGATCCAGGAGAAGCACAGAACTCCCAACAGGCTTGATCAAAAGCAATCTTCACCAAGACACATAATCAAGTTCTCTTCAATCGAACATAAGGAAAAGATCCTTAAATGAAAAAAAAAAAAATCAACTGACATATAAAGGAAAGCCAATTAAACTCACAGGAGATCTCTCACAGGAAACTCTACAGGCAAGAAGAGAATGGAGTGACGTATTTCAGAGACTAAAAGCAATTGTTGACTCAGGATAAAGTACCCAGCAAAGTTTTTCTCTGTCTTTGAAAATGAAATAAAATTCTTCCACAGTAAAGAAAAGTTCAAAGAATATGCATCTTCCAAACCTGCCCTACAAAGGATACTTCAAGATGTTCTCTTTACAGACAAAAGGAACAGCACCCACCAAAACTAAAGGCATATGTGAAGAACATCCCAGTAAAATAACAACGGAAGACTAAATCAATGAAAAACCCACAGTTAAAATGACAGGACCAAAGTACCACCCATTCATATCAACCCTGAATATAAATGGATTAAACTCATTAAACATCATAGAGTGGTAGACTGGATTAAAAAACAAAACCCATCTCTTTGTTGCCTACAGGAGACATATCTCATCAACAAAGATCAGTGGGAACTACATTGGATGGATTTTGATATGTTTTTTTAGTTTCTTCTCTTCAAAACACTTTATTTCTCATTAAATTCTTCAGTTAACTCATAGACCATTCAGTAGCATAATTTTCTTCAAGAAGGTTACTGATTTTTTCATTTCTTCACCGACACATTAGTCATTCAGCAGCATGTTATTTAACTACACAGCGTTGTTAATTTTTTTCTTCTGTTGTTGATTCTGTATTATGACTTTTCATTTAAGGGGATGTACAGTAGCTGTGAAATGGAGACTATCATATCCAGATGTGAGGATACAATGCAGTATGCATCTCTACTTCCAAAGATGGACTCCCAATGAAACTGTTAACTATATCTTGACAACAGGATGCTGGACTCTCTGCCATTGTCCATGCCCGCAATGACGGACATATGACTGCTTATGAAGAACTATGATGTAGCAATGATATGGGGAAACTCAGTGAGTGGGGAGGGAATTGGTGAGGGGATAAGAGAAATCCCATGATCTGTGGAACTGTATCATAAAACGATAATGATATAGAAAAGTAAAATTAAGAAAAAAAAATAAATGACTATTCAGAGTCACTTACAAATGAAGGGCCACGCCCTTGGTTCCTAAGGCAGGCGACGGGGTAGAGGCATTGAACATTACACACTTTGCCCCAGAGCAGTGACAAGTCCTTAATTCCAAAGTGTAAGAGCCTCAACCAAAGGCTGCAGAGCCAGCTCAGTTTTACCACCTACGTTCTCACTGCAGTGATTAAAACCGACTCTCAACATCATCACACACGGTGTTGTTAACGAGCACCTCAAAACTGGGGTAACCGACCTTGATAATTCATCACAGACAGAAGAGCTGGCCAGTACCGAGGGTTTGCCACCTGCCGGGTCCTGAGACACACCTGGGAGAAACGCTTCCACTCTGAGCCTTTCCCACCATCCCCATTTGACACTTCTGGAAACGAACGCTCCGAGAACTTGAAATGACTCCTACAAGGCTACAAAGCTACTCGTCAGTGCCCTGGCCATCCAGTCCCACGCGGTACAGGGTGCTCTGTGCCACAGTACCTGCTCCTCACTGAACCCACACCACGGCTTGTTTGAGAGCAGTCTCCGAGCAAACAAGAATTCTGTTACTCAAGTTCAGCTTGCCGCTTCCGGCCACCAGTGGTCGACCCTCCCAACTAGAGTTCTTGCATCAGAATCACATCTCCTGGAACCCGAAGCTGAGAGGGCAGGCCGGAGCCAGAGTTCGCAGGGGAATGTGGACACCAAACTGCCCTGGAACTACACGGTGGTGACCAAGACACCCAGCTTACGCCCCAGGCGGCTCTGAAATGCCTGCGAGCCGAGGACGCACGCTTTGTCCAAGGGAAAAGCTCAGGTTTCCCGGGCATCACCGCTTAATGTGCAGTGTGACCTTGGAGCTGGGAACGGTCGGGATCAGGGGCACAGAACCCTACCCGTCCTTGTCCCTTAGGGCGACGGGGGTGGTCCGCGTCCAGGCACCGGTGCACCTGTGCGGGCGTCGCCTCCCGCCCGGCAGGCAGGGTGCGCACGCGCCCCGGCCAGCGATGCTGACTCAGCCTGGCGGCTCACATCCCTTTCGCGCAACGCGGATGCTCCGGCTGCTGTCGCTGCAGTAAAGCAGCGTGGGGGGTAGAAGGGGGGGTGAGCAAAGCACCCGCAGCAACCCGGCCGCTCGCGGCCCTGGGGCCCATTGCGGTACTCCCTCTCCACCCCCGGAAGGGGTACTGTGGGGAACGCGCGAGTTGACGAAATTGGGGGAAGTGGGCGCTGGAGGAAGAACTCAAGCGCCGCGCGCGCAGCTCACACCCAAACTGGAAGGAACCTGTTCTGCCCGGGGCGGGCGCGGAGCCGGCACTGCCGCGAGCACCGCGCGGGACCAGCCCCGGCGCGCGCGCGTCTCCCTTCCCCGCCAAACCCCCCAAACCCTCACGGGCGGGGCTGCGGGAAGGGAGGCTGCCCCGAACCCCCGTGCGCGCGACGGCTGTGGGGGTGGGGTGGGGGTGCCCGAAGAGAGGCTGCAGGCGCCTCCGGAACACCCTGCCCGCTCCGCTCGCTCTGGCGTGGCGGCGAAGCGCCGCGGGCCGCTCGGTGCCAGGCGCGCCCGGCCGGAGAGCTGGGGTGGTGGTGGGGGGAGCTGCGCCAGAGACCCCAGCGGCGTCGGCGGAGACGACCGGCCCGGGACAGCGACGCGGTTACCTTCCGTGACCCCCGGCCCGAGCGGCGGGCAGGCGGGCGCGCGCCCGGTCCACGTGGGCCGGCGCGCGCGCGCCAGGACGGCCCCCTCCTTGGCGGCGCTCGGCGCTCGCAGCACATGGTCGGCGGCGGCGCGCCCCCGAGGCCGGCGGAGACCGGCTGCAGCCGGTATAGGATAAGAGATAGGCAGCGACGCGGGGCCGGGGCGCGGGCAGCAGCACGCACCGACCGGGCGCAGGCGGCCGGGGTGGGGGGCGGGGGGAGGGTGTGGTTAGGGTGGCCCGGGCCTGGGAGTGGGTGGGGGGCCAGGGCGCTCGGGCTCAGCCGGCGCAGCCAACTTGTGACAGACTCGGGCCGCGCCCTAAAGGGTTAAACCTTTTCTCATGTTGCCGAGCGGCTTATAAGGAGGGGGAGGCCAAGCCTCCGCCTTATTGGGAGCCTTTGGGGTTTTATTCTCTTCCCTTCTAACTTGGTGAGTTGGTTTTATTATTTTACATGTTTAAAAGTTTGATGGTGGGAGGTGGGGGGTTTGGGTGGGTTGTTTTTTTTTTTTTTTCCTGATATGTGTTGGGGCCATTCGAGGGGCAAGGAAGCAGAAGGAGGAGAGTGAACATCTAAACATTTGGAGAGGTTATCCGGGGAAATATTCTGTGACATTTGGGAATAGTCAGGGGCCACCAGGAGGAAGCGCTCTCGCCGGCTTGAGCAGCCGCGAGTTGGGTGTCCGTGACCCTGGGACAGCTGGGATCCGGAAGAGATTTTTGGAAAGCCAGGGCTTTGGGTGCCCCCCTCGCCGTGGGTGAGGGGACCCCGGGTCGTCGGACGAGTCCGGGGCGGCGGGCTCAGCCCCTGGGTGGTTTTTCCGCTTGAAGTTGCCTGCGCGTCACGACATGTCAGGGGTACCTTCCTTCCCCAGGATCGTATATGTGCGCGCGCGCGCGCGCAGGACCACTGAGGCAGCGCCGCGGGAAAGTGGGGTCCCTCTCCCCACCCGTGCCATCCAGCACCTCCTGGGCCTGTCACCCGCGCTGGCCGTTGTAGCGGAGAAAGCGGGGAAGAGCGCGGGACCCACACTTTGACCAGCAGAAGTGTCAGCCGCTGACGGCTGGTCCCGCGCAACTTCCAAGGTTGGCTGAGCTGCCAGCCGCAGGAAAGCGCCCGGACCGCGGGGCTGTTCTGGCAGCGCGGATAGATGGTTTTGCAGGGGAAATAGGTTGTTTCCTTCTGGATGGTTGCTTTCCTGTCCGCCACCCGGCTGACAGGTGATGGAAGTTAGGTTACTTGTTATGTTGTGTCCCTAATTCCAGGGACGCCCATCTTGCCAACTGGAAAGGAGCAGTTAGAACTTGTCAACCTGGAAGTGGGTTTTTTCTGCACAGTTGGACCCTCCGTGCCAGCTGCTTCTCCCAGGAAAGCCTTCTACCCTGGCGTTGCGATTTCTCAGTTGTCTTGGAAGGATTGGTTTTTGCAAATCATATTAAGATGAGCGTCTTGTTGGGAAGGAAAAAAAAAATTGTTCGGAATATTTGCTGAATCTGTTAGGGGATGCCTGTCTCTGTGTCCTGGCGTGGGGGGCGAGCAGGGGGTCAACAATACACCCTGCCTAGGGATATAGTAGAACACCTCTCCCCCTAATTCAGGGAAGGGTGCCCAAGATAGAAACTTGCAGGATGTAAATAAAGAATGCAGCCAAGTGGAAAAGCACCTTCTATCTTAACGAGTGCCACCAGCCCTGAGTTTTCCTTCTGTGGTTTCCAAAACAGGACTTTCCTCAGTGGAACTCCTGAGGAAGACACTTAAATTAGGGGCTTGGGTTTCCACATCATGGTCTTGTAAAAAAATGGCGAATTGGCAGCTTTCCAGGTTCGATTTGGGATTTAAAAAAAAAAAAAATGGAATACGAATGAACTTTAGTGGATAGATACAAACTGGTTTTGACAACTGGGGCCAGAAAGAACTTGTCAGAAACGGTTCTCAAGGTTCCGCCTTTAAGAAGAATGGGGAATCTTGAAAAGCACTTGCTTAGGCTCTGCCTGGGCCAGGAGCTGAGCCTCGTCCATGCCACAGCCTGTAGTTTGAACTTTGCTCTGAACTGACCCCAGATTAGCACAGGCCTGTAATCAGGTCTTGCTCATTTTCCATGCCCTCGGGTCATCTTCGCTGGACACCTTAAAATTCCTAGGTGGTAGCAGATTTCCAGATCTGAGCAGAGGGATCATTGCTCTGAGGGAATCTGTAAGATTACCCAATGCTCTAGGAAATAGTGCCGTCTGCCCTGTGTCCTTGGTCATTATGCCACCTTCGGAAAGCCCTCAGGGACAGGGAAGTGCCTGGTTCGGATGTGTGGAAGTGCATGTGCGGTTGGAACGATCTGAAAGACCCCTGCCTTTAGAGATGATGAAATCGAGGCAAGAAGGGACTGCTCTAAGTGGAAGTGATTTCTCTAAGCTGCTACAGCCAGTTAATGGTGAACAGAAACTCAACAAATATGGCATGAGGACTTTGGTAAGACAAGTCTCTGGGCCTTGCTTTTTAAAGGACCTGCTACTATTCTGAATTACTGCTGCTTTTACAAGATTCATCCCCTGCCTGGAGGTTCCCCCAGTTCTCCTGCTTGATCCCAATTATTTGGGCCATCTTGTACTGCTTAGCAGAGAGCTGGATCAAAAGTGGTGCAGCTGGGACTCAAGCAGTGGCTCAACTCACCATGCCACAGTGCTGCCCAGCAGAATTGCTAATACTTGAGGGCAGGGAGTGATCTGAGGGCCTGTGAGTCTCTGCCAGCTTCCTTGCGTACCAGCTGGAGACCCTCCGGAGGCCAGGGGATTCTCCACAGGCGTGGGGCCTTGGCTCAGGGTGGGTCGGGACTGCTGTTCCGTATCAGCCAGTAAGATCTCATAGCCCGTGACTATCCCTTCCCACCCAGTGAACGCCCAAGTCCGTAAAACCAGAGTGCAATGGTAATTTCCATATTCTGAAAATTGTAGAAACTTCTAGGTCACCAGATTCCTGAACCCTGGCCTCAGTGGCTGTGTTTGCAGAACCAGCAATTGCTAAATAAATGAGGAGAGCAGACAGCATCTAGCAGACGGCAGCTGAATGCTCGGAGTCACAATGTAAGCTTGTAGTCGGCGTCTACTAGGTGCCCCGTGCTGTGCCAGGTACTGGAAGAGCTGCAGATAGCTCTGGAGGAGCCTGCCACGTGCCATCTTAGATGCCAAAGGCAGGACCTCCCAGGAAAGGGGCTTTTCTATTTAGTCTCTGCAGTAGTCTTCGTGTAACAGGCTATAGGATGCTAAAGGCATCAGACTTTTCAGAGTAGGAGTAGATTCCAGGTGTCACTTTCGCAGCATGATCCTAACTAGAAGAAGCTGCAACACTTCTGTCCTCCAGAAACCCAAGGATGCACGTGGGGCTACCCTGGAATCTGCCGCCACAGAGAAGCACATACAGAAAGCAGAGTCTGGAGGGGGAGAAAAGGAACCGAGCACGCCGGGAAGGGCTCAGGGCGTGAACGTAGCAAGGTGGTCACGAGATCTACCAGCCTTACCATCTGTGGTGGACACCCAACCAGTGGCCAACTCTCACCCCAGATGTGCGAGAACCGTCTGCCATTTGCCCTCTCCTGGCTTTCTCTTTAGGTCACAAGGTTTGGCCCTAGGAATCTGTTGATTCATAAAAGGACGCCTCCAATGGGGAAACTGAATTAAAGGATGTTTTACTTTGATAGAAAAACTTTCAATATCTGTGTATCATTTCATTGATTCATGTATTTTATTTGAAAGGGAGAGAGACAGAGATCTCCCATCTGCTGATTCACTTTCCAAATGTCCGCAACATCCAGGACTGGGCCGAGCCGAAAGCACGAGCTGGGAACTCAGCCCGGGGCTCCCACGTGAGTAGCAGGGGCCCGACCTAAGCTGTCTCCTGCTGCCTCCCAGGGGGCCCCTCAGCAGAATGCTAGAGCAGAGTTGGGTCTCAGACCTAAACGCTCCAGTGTGGGATGTGGGTGTCCCAGGCGGCAACTGCTGTATGCCATCTGATACATTTTTTTATGAACTTTTCCAAGATTCCCTCAGATGCATGGATTTCAGGCATTTTGCAGCAAAATAAACTTTGCATAGTTCGGCACCAAATTCCAAAGTATGCAGCCTTCAGGAGTCCTACCTCCCTCAACTCAGGCCCAAAGAGAGCATGTGGCCTTCTCAGGTTCCACGGGGAAGCCCCCAAAGGGTTCCAGGCCGCTTTACCATAGTGAAAGCTTTGATGCAGTCTCTGAGTCCAGCACCTTCGTCCCGGGCCTCTGACAGGCTGCCCGGAAGGCTTGCTCGGTAGGAGGCTGGCTCTGGCAGCCCTTCCCTGAGCTCCCAGCTCTGTTCTCTTCTTTTGCCAAATGAGTGACATCTCACGAAGTGGACTTACACAAGCTGAGTCCCAAGTTCTGCAGCATTCTGGAACTGTGATGTCACGGCAGGGGCTGAGGTAGTGGTAGAAACACGCAAACCGTGGCAGGTGCAAGCCACTGGTCCCACAGCAGGGGAGAAGGGTGGCACCACCATCCCGTATCCCAGAACTGCCATCTGTCCTGACACAGAGCACGCTCCCAGGATAGTGATGGTGCGTGCACCTGCAGCAATTTTGTCACTAGGGAGAGCTTTGACTTCTCGGGATGGAGGGTACTTTTCAAACTTAATCCCAATACATTTTTATTCCCGTCATTCCTGAGCCCCTGGGCAGCCTCCTGAGTAAGAAGCACTGTGCAAACAAGATTCTGGGCCTGGAAGCCACTTAGTCCTGACTCCTTGTCAGAAAATGCGCTGACATCTCTGGCAGGAAGTCCTCATCAGGATGCACTTCCACCTGAAGCTTCTCAAGATTTGTTTAACTTGAAAGTCAGAGAGGACGAGACTGAGAGATCTTCCATCCTCTGGTTCACTCCCCAAATAGGGGAAATAGCCAGAACTGGGCCAGTCCCAAGCTGGGAGTCTGGAGCTTCTTCCAGATCTCCCATGTGGGTGCAGATACTCAGGGCTTTTGGCCACCCTCTCTGCTGCTTTCTGAAGCCATTAACAGGGAACTGGATTGGAAGTGGGGCAGCCAGGACTAGAGCTGGCATCCATGTGGTGTGCCAGCTCTGTGGTCAGAAGGTTAGCTTGCTATGCCATCACACCAGCGCCAAGGGTCTTTATTATCAGGTGTTAATCAATACCCTGTTTTCACCTGTGGAGGCTGAGACCATCTCACAGTCTTTTCACTGGAATATTCGTGCAGTGAAAATAAAGGGTCAGGCACCTTGTAGGTGCCTTGTTAAAAAAAAAAAATCACTGAATAAATAGGAGAGTGTATAATTGAGAAAGTAGGATAAATGCAAAAAGGTAAAGAACAGCCCATGGTTAAAGGAGACCTGCCACAGGAAGGAGAAAAGCCCCTTAGACCAAGATGGCTGCAGGTTACAAGAGGAAAGGCGTGGCCCCGGTGCAGGTGGACACCCAGGGCGGCAAGAGTTGAGTCTTAGGCCCAGAAGAAACAAGGAGCATGATGCCTGCTGAGGAGGAGGCTCCGCAGGGCTATTTCTCATCCAGGAAGAGGAGACTGGTGAATGGCATGACCCCACAGGGCTTCACAAAGCCTAAGCAGACCAGACAGACAGAGCCAGCTAACTGGCAATTAAGGGCGTCCTGGGCTTCGCCGGGGAAAGCCTGCGTGGATGGCCTGTCCGCGGGGTGCACCCAAGGCCACGTTGGCCACGTTGGCCACGTGCACCCCCACTCCACCCAGCAAGCTTGTTTCTGACCCTTCAGATTTTAAAGTCTGTTGCTGTTTTCACTCCTCTGCCCCAGCTGCCTCATCTTGACAGTGATGCTGGAAAAGCCAATGAAGGAAGCATGTTGTGAGAAATCTCCTTTGCCAGGGGGCGGGGGCTCCTGGTTCCTGCTTTACGTCAGCTCCGTGTTGCACCATGCTAGTGACAGACCCTGCTGCAGCTAGCCAGCCTGCACCTGGCACTATCTCAGAGCCTGACCTTCCTACATGCTGCCGGGCAGGCACGTCCACACAGCTATGCAGTGGCCTTGGCCACGGGCAGCATCAGCTTCTTGGAGCAGCCCGTGGTCAAGCCCATTCACTGAAGCGACGAGTCGACAGTGACACCTTACACTTTCCCACACTTGAGGCCTGGGGGGGCGGGGGATGGCACTAACAGTGCATAGAATGACACATGCTCAGTTCAGACTTGCACTTGGGGAATTCAGGACATGAGACTCCAGACTAGAATCTGACAAATCTCTTGGGAGAAGAAAATGTATGTTTCCATTGCTTTGCATAATCAATAAAACCTCTGCCTTGCTAACTTAAATACAACAATGTATGGCTAAAAAAGACACTCAGGGCTCTGAGAGTTCACCAGTCTGTAACAGTGCAATTGTAAAGAATTCACCAAGTTGGGAGCCATGAAGAACTTAACAACCACGAACTCTAGTATTATACATATTAATATATTTACCTGGACTAAAAATACCTGTCAGCGTTTCCGGGTATTTGCAATTGCAGAGGCCTTCGCAGGGGGCAGTATTCCCGTGTGGGAGCCCAGCCTAGAGGGCTGAGTCCAGCTGGGGTCATTCCAGTGTTAAGTACACAGTGAGTCCCTCTTTCTTGGAGGTGTTAGGGTGTAGGTGGTTTGGGTAATAGACAGGTTTCAGGGAGGGGGATTAAGGCTACCAATACCCAGGCCCGTCACTGGATTTTAGAATACCAATCATGAGCTGAGGTGCTCAATTGATAATAAACCAAGTGGCGATCAACTTTGAGGAAATCACACTTTGTTTTAAAATTTTCTTGATTAATTTGAGAACCAGATACGGACAGACAGCGCTCTCATCCACTGATGCACTCCACAAATATCCCCAATGGCCTAGGCCAAAGCTGGGAGCCAAAAACTCAGGCATGTATGAGACAGAAACCCAAGGACTGAACCATCACCACTGCCTGCCAGGATCTGCGTTAGCAAGAAGCTGGACTCAGAAGCCAGAGCTGAGACTTGAACTTGGGCAGCAGGTGTCTTAAACATTAGGCTAAAGAACCACCTGAAACTTAGTTTTTGCTCGACATTCCTTATTGTCAACGAACACTTCGCCTCCCGGTTTGCCTCCTTCAAGGTCAGCATCACTGAGCTGGTGATCATGCCATGTCCTTCCAAGTAACCCTAATATTCTACCCTGATTCCTTGTTTCTTTTTCTCACTTAAATGTCACAAGGAAGTCTTACCTCCAAATTGTTCTGGGGTCCCAAATATAATACAAAGACAGATAGTAGACTAGAGAAAGTCATCCACAGACTTTATACTGAGAGTGCATGACTTACGTATTCAACAACTAAAGACATGGTGGTTAAGTAGCTCTTATCTGTTGTGTTTCCCAGAGAGTATTAGTATATTCAACCCCCATGCTATTGTCATCCTAATTTTTTTTGTTTTAACCTTCTGTTTCAGATTAAGAATGACCCAGAAGAAATCAATGCTCTATTCCGGAACCAATGTGTATACTCAAGTGCCTGATGGAGGCTGGGGCTGGGTGGTCGCTGTTGCTTTTTTCTTCATCGAAGTCTTTACCTACGGCATCATCAAGTCCTTCGGCGTCTTCTTTAAGGACTTAATGGAGAGTTTTGACGAATCCAACAGCAGGATCTCATGGATAATATCTATATGTGTGTTTGTCTTAACGTTTACAGGTTAGTACATCTTGCAACGCAATCATGATGTAGCCCCTTTTAACTTGCCAGTGTGTTTGCAGTGACCCCCCCCCCGCCCCCCGATGCTCTGTTGACCCTTTGTAGCTTCACAGAAGGGGGTTGGGGAACTGGCAAGAAGCAAGAGGCACTATGGAAAACAGCCTTCCTTGCCAGCTCTGACTGCCCTCAGCTAAACAGATGTGTTCATCATCTACTGTGTGAACACACATGGGACCTCTATTGGAGGATAGTGGAAACCCAGTCCCGTGAGGACTTGGCGTGCCATGCCCAGGTCTCATAAGATACGCTTAGCAAACAGGCCACAGACATGCAAGTGTGGACAGGTGAACAGAAAAGAATAAAATGATTTCTCATGTGAGGCATCTTCGGGAAGCTCATGGCAAGCGCCCCTATGAAAACACTATTTGTAGATTTCAAAAACTTGTTGCCACAAAACACATTTGTCTTTGAATTTCCTTTTCCCACAAACTTTTTGAAGCACCCTCCTGTTGTCCCGAGGAGACATCCCAAATTCTAAACACCTGTTTTCCTAGAGGACCCCCCCCCCACTGAGTCATCATTGTATGATATCTTAGTATTGTTTTGACCCACTGGTCTTAGCTTGGTCCGTGCACTTATCTCAGAAAGACCATTCAAGTGAATTAGTACCAAAACATTACACACAGCAATCCAAACATCGAGAAAATCCCAAAGCTTATGCCTCAGCTCTTTTACAATCAAGATAATTAGGAGTTCAACAGAAGACAATTCTTCTACATGCTGTTATTCTAGTTGCTATGTTTGAACTAACACACTGGCTTGAAGTGATGGTGCCTTCCTGGTGAACTAAACTTAATGTTAGCTTGCATTCTAGTAACTCACATGGTAGATACATATGCATTAATCCAACAATGCAGAATCCTTGTTCTTCTTACCTTTCTATCCAGCATGTTCTGTGTTGCTCTTCCGAGCCCCATTCTCAGTGGTTCACTGACTCAAGTGAACCAATACGAAGTGATACATAAGTCAGAAATGAATTCACCAGCTTTAAACGTCCTATAGAGTGCTGAAAGACACTGAGCAGATTGCGTTTCACTGCCACTGTGAACTATGTAGCCCATGACTAACTTCAGCTGTGTATGACCCAGATGTACCGTGCTCTCATCCTGTATCACTTTCAGGAAAGTCACGTGAAACTAACTAGCATTTGATTCCCAAATGGAGCTTTTTAAAAAGAATCCAGGGAGGGGCATTTGGCCTAGCAATCAAGACGCTAGCCATGACACCCACGGCCTACGTTGCAATACCCGGATCTGGCACCCGGCTCCACCTCCAGATTCCAGCATCCTGCTAATCTGGCCCGTGAAGCCGCGGTGACGGATGGGTCTTGGCACTGGGATCCTGCCAGCCATGTGGGAGATCCGGACTGAGTTCTCGGCTCCTGGCTTCTGTCCGCTCAGCCCCAGCCCTGGTGAGCCATATGAGGAGTCACTCAGCGGGTGGGAACCCTTGTCTCTCACATAAATAAAATAAACATTTAAAAAAGAACCCAAAGTAGTGAGTAGAGGGGAAAAAAAAGTGATTCATGGCCTCACGGAAAAGCCAGTTTTTCTTACAGGATCACAAACTGCATAAATGCATCTCCAGTTGTATAGTGACTCCTTGTGAGTCAAAACCTCTCATCTAAAAATATCAGAGTGTTATACTATTACTCTGGCATGTCCTTTAGTTAAAAAAAAAAATTATTCGTTTGAAAGGCTGAGCGACAGAGATCTTCCAGCCTCTGGCTTATCCCCAGATAGCCATAAAGGCGAGGGGTAGACCAGGTTGAAGCCAAGAGCCAGGGTTCCCACGTGGTGGCAGGGGCTCAAGCACTTAGGCCATTTCTGCTGCTTTCCTAGGTGTGTTAGCAGGGAGCTGGATGGGAAGGAGAGTAACTGGGATCTGCACTGATGCTCCAACACAGAATGCTGCTATTGCAAGTGGTGGCTTCATCTGCTGTGTCCTAACGATAGCCTCCCCAAATCGGGACAATCTTGTCTGATTGGAATGCATACCAAACTAATTGATCACAGTAGCCATTGCACAAGACATAGTAAGTCTTGCATGCCCAAGACCAGGAGGAAGGGTCCTGACAGAAGCAGCCCCTGAGGCCCTCACGAGTGACCCAGCATGTGTGTTCCTCCTTGCAGCTCCCCTCGCTTCAATCCTGAGCAATCGCTTTGGACACCGGCTGGCAGTGATGCTGGGCGGGGTGCTGGTCAGCACTGGAATGGTGATAGCCTCCTTCTCCCAAAAGGTCTATCACATGTACATCGCCATTGGGGTTGTCTCAGGTAAGTGTGCCTTCTCTTCCAAGGTTCTCTGGGGCTGGGGTGGGAGAGAGAGCTATCTGGCCCACCAGGTAAGGTGACACTTGGGGTGTCTGCATGCCACTTCAGAACACCTGGGTTCAAATTCTGGCTCCAGTCACAACTGCAGTTTTCCCGCTGGGTGCCAGGGGGCCTGAGCGCGTGGGCCAGCCTCCGCACATCTTTCAGGTACATTGCTAGGGAGCTGGTTTTGAAGTGGAACAGCTGGCATTTTAACCAGCACTCCAATATGCGATGCCAGCGTCATAAGTCGCAGCCAACCAGCTGCACAATCACGCTGTTACAAACAAACTGAATATCCTAATCTGAAAATTCAAAATATAAAAGGCTCCCAGATCCTAACCTTGCAGAACTCCTACTCAATGCCACAGGTGGAAAATTCTATATCTTAAACATTTGTTTCATGCCCATAATTACTTACAAGAAAGCAAAAAAAAAAAAAATTTATATTTGGGCTATGTGTAAAAGTACAAAGCATAAGTGAATCTCTCATGTTTAGACTTGAATCCCGTACCCACTCTGTACGTGCAGATATCCCAAATCCAAACAGATCTGAAATCTGAAACACATCTGGTCCCAAGAGTTCTATAATATGCACAGCTTTCTGTAGGTGTGTGTGTACAACACCTGTGACTTCAGATTTGCACACTTAAGATATTTTTCATGGAAGCAGGCATTTAGCCTGGCACTTAGGGTACCCAATTCCTGAGTCAGGGTTTGACTGCCAGGTCTGGCTTCTGGCTCCAACTGCCAACCACCAAGGCAGACCCTGGCTATAGCATTCATGGTTCAAGTCCTTGGCTCCCTGCCACCCCTGCGGGAGGTCTGAGCAGAGTCCTGGCTCCTGACGACTGCCCCAGTGCAGTCTCTGGCCTTGCAGGCGTTCAGGGTGAACCAACAGATGGCAGCTCGGTTTCTCCCTGCCTTCCCAATGAAAAAACAATCTCATGTATTTCTCTGCATGTCAACACTTACATATTTCTAAATACAATTCTTATGTGAGGGTGACTCAGAAAAGTTCATGGAAAAATAGAATGAAAGGGTAAGTTGATTTGAATATAATTTTTTTTTGAAATGCAAGTATATTGGATGTCTTCAAAAAGTTCCTGAAAAACAGTAATTATACAGAACCTTTCTGTACCAGAGAAACATTATCTTTTTTCAAAAAAGAAATTACTTATTTCATTTGGAAGTCAGAGTTACAGAGAGGAAGAGACGAAGAGAGAGGTCTCCCGCCTGCAGGTTTACTCCCCAAATGATTGCAATGGCCAGAGCTGGGCCAGTCCGAAGCTGGGAGCCAAAAGCTTCTTCCAGGTCTCCCATGTGGGCACAGGGTCCCCAGGACTTGGACCATCCTTCACTGTTTTCCCAGGCCATCAGCAGGGAGCTAGATTGGGAATTGGAGCAGCCAGGACATGAACCGGCATCCATATGGAATGCTGACACCAGCAGGCAGAGGATTTGGCCTGTTGAGCCACTGCACTAGACCTAGAAACCTTATCTTTTATTTTCCAAAAACTTTTAAAGGTACCCTTACATAAAAGCTATATTCATGACACAGATTTTTTTTTATATGTGGAAGGTTAAAAATAGATGAGTTTTGATACTCCTGGCATCCCCAAAACAACTGGAGCAGCTCACGCAGACTGCCAGCAAAACCCATTCTTGTTTGCTCTGCCACATTTTTCCAGAATGAGCTCCTTGGCTCCCAGAACTTCGGATTCAGAAGGCAGCAGTCCAGGCCCTTTGCGTGTGGCTTCCCCGGCTGGCCAGGGTGCTTACTGCCCTTGGTGACTCTCTCTCTCTCTCTCTCTCTCAGGTCTGGGATACTGCTTCAGTTTTCTCCCCGCAGTCACCATTCTGTCCCAGTACTTCGACAAAAGGCGTTCCATCGTCACAGCTGTCGCCTCCACGGGAGAGTGTTTCGCTGTGTTTGCTTTTGCACCAGGTAGGCTCTTCTCCCACAGTCCATAGGCGAGTGGGGAGTGGGTGTGAAGGCTGCCCTCGGGTGTCCTTGCTGTGCTAACGTTTGCCAGCAGTCTGAATGATGCCACGTGTCTATCCCCAGGGGACAGGCGTGGTGGCTCTGCAGGGGAAGCTACTATCTGGGAGCCCACATGGCATAGCAGGGTACCCGCTGCTTGGGATGCCACTTGCCATAGCAGAGCGCCAGTTCCAGCAACCCCGCTTCTGATGCAGCTTCCTGCAGGTGCATCCTGGGAGCAGAACGATAATGATGCAGCTGCTTGACTGTGATGGGAGAGCCAGGGGAGTTCTGGGCTCCTGGTTTTGCCCTGGCCCAGCCCTGGCTGCTGGCAAGCATTTGGCAATGAACCAACCAGTGTATGAAAGATCTCTCTCTCTGCCTTTCAAGATGAAAAACTACAATATTTTTAAAAAGCTATTTACATAATGAAAGTGTGTTTGCCTTCTCTTCCTTAGTGCAGTGTTAGGATGTGTCTTTCCTAAGCCCAATGTTAGAAGTTAAAACCATTTTAGTAACAGTCCAACCTTACATGACAAGGACAATATGTGGCATGTCATCAGCAGTATGGCCTTCTGGAATGCATTCCCAAAGGATTTAATGATTTGAAATTGCTCATACTAATATTTTTCTCCTTGGTCAAGAGAGCTATATTCATTAGGGGCTTCACTTAAGCTAATAAAGCCAGTTTTATTATCTTGGTGTGGATAGTCTCAGTAAAAATACAAATTTTTTCAAGATCTTTTGGTTGCTCTGAAAGGTAACATGACAGAAAGAGGGGACTGTCCATCCACTTTTTCACTCCCTAAATGCCCCCTGCAACCAGGGCTGGGTCAGGCTGCAGCCGGGAGCTCTAGCCTGCCTCCCACACAGAGAACAGCAACCCAAGAAACTGGGCCATCGTCCACTGCCTCCAGGCTTGTTAGCAGGAAACTGGGTTGGAAGCATGGAATAGCCAGAACTCAAGCCAGGCCCTTTCAGAGGGGTCGTGGGCATTCCACGAAGGGGCTTCACTTGTGGCACCACAATACCTGCCCCATCAGCAAAATGTTTCTCCCTGGCTTATTTCCAGTCTTACTATTTACTATGCAAACTGCAAACAAACTAAAGTGGTGAACAGATAACCTTGGCAACACAGATCCACTCTCTTACACTGCCATTTCTTGACTCATGAGTCAGGGGGTTGCATTAAGGGTGACGTGTTGCAGTGTGTGGGGAGTGAAGGGGAGTGTGTGTGCAGCATGCTCGTGGCAGGACAAAGCAAGCAGCAGCTGGCTGCATCCGGGTGGGAGGACGGGCATCCTCCTGTCATGAGTGTCCTGCTCTCCACCTGTTTGTGGATTTCAGGTTTTTCTGATTGGAATGTCAATGGGAGAGCAATCACTGGCTTGTGGGTGAGTGTGCCTGTCAGTTCATGCCCTGGCATCAGGCACTGCCCCGGCATGTGGCAGGCACTCAAGAAACACAAAACGGAGAAAGGAAAATTAGAGCAATTAATGCCAGATAAGTACAGGGTGCTTGGAAACACTCCAGCTGAAAACTGTTTTGTGATTTTAAGATTTCCTGATGAATGGGGAATGGGGGAACAAGAGCATGAGTAAGACACATGGGGTCCCCCAAGGAGGGTGGGGTTCTTGGCTTCCCAGGTCAGGGCGCCTGCCACACTCCACTGCCTGCTGTCAAAGAACAGTAATAGAGAAAAAATGAAATTAATTGTCACTGAGCCTCTCCGAGATGACTGGGTCAACACTGAGCAATTTTGCTGGGCCTACGACATCCCGTTGTGTCTCTAGACCTTGGGGCTGTCCTGAGTCACGCTCAAGGATGTGGCCAGCAGCCTGGCAAGCACCTTCACTCCAGGGAGGAGGAGAACTCCAGCAGCGCACAACACCCTTCAGGTGGAAACTGGAGGACCACCTCCAGGGAGGACCACACGAACTGTCAGGTTCATTTCTTACTTGAGCCATTACGCCTCAGAACAGAATGAGTGGCCCCATAATGATGTGGCTCGGGCCTTGGACCATTCATTTGATTTGAAGGCCAGAGAGCAAATCTTTCAGGCCTTTCAGATTATATAAGCCTCTAGCATATCCACCCAATTGCTGCTGTTAGGACACAGGGTGTCCCTGGATTGTGGTTTCTGGACAAAAGCAGGGAGTTGGATCAGGGTGGCCTACTGGCTGCTGTTGGCCAAACCCCATGGCCATCTCAAACCTGTTTTATTTCTTGCACTTCCTACTGGGAAACATATGCCTTTCCAAACTTTTCAAACTTTTTTCCTCGAGGCATTTCCCCTTCCAAACATCTGGAAACTTGGGCTGAAGTGTTATGTCTTCTACATAAATATGTACCAAACACACTTTGTCCTTATTGATTCACAAAATGTGCCAAAAGCTAGGATGATGGCTGGTCTAGGTGAACCGCTGGTTAACATCCTGACTACCCTAGCATCCCGGTTTCATCCTGATGCCTCCACCTGCTCTTGACTCACTTGTTGACCTTCCATTTTGTTCTCTCCCCACCCCTGCTTCTCCAAGCCATCACAGCCCTGAAGGAGCACACCGGCTGGCAGTACAGCCTCTTCTTCGTGGGCCTGCTGCAGCTGAACATCGTGGTCTGCGGGGCACTGCTCAGGCCCCTGGTTATAAGAGGACCCGGGTCGCCCAGGAAGGTTCCCCACGAGAACCGGAAGGAAGTGCAATACATGCTTGAAAATGAGAAAACGCGGACCTCAATCGACTCCATCGACTCAGGAGTGGAACTAACTACCTCACCAAAAAACGTGCCTAGTCATGCTAACTCTGAACCCGAGCCCAGGGCGGACACGCAGAGGGTCCTGGTGAAGGCGGGTTCCCCACGCAGGGCTGAGAAAGCCCCCCTGATAGACTTCTCGATTTTGAGAGAGAGGAGCTTTATCTGCTATGCGTTGTTTGGCCTCTTTGCCACGCTGGGATTCTTTGCGCCTTCTCTGTACATCATCCCTGTGGGTATCAGTCTGGGTGTCCATGAGGACCGTGCTGCTTTCCTGCTGTCGGCGATGGCGATCGCCGAGGTGTTCGGCCGGATTGGAGCTGGTCTGGTCCTCAACCGAGAGCCCATTCGCAAGATTTACATTGAGCTCATCTGTGTCATCCTGCTGACCGTGTCTCTGTTTGCCTTCACGTTTGCCACCGAGTTCTGGGGACTCATGGCCTGCAGCGTGTTCTTTGGGTGTATGTTTGGGACTATAGGAGGGACCCACATCCCACTGCTTGCAGAGGACGACGTTGTGGGCATCGAGAAGATGTCCTCCGCAGCTGGAGTGTACGTCTTCATCCAGAGCATCGCAGGGCTGGCTGGACCACCCCTGGCAGGTAACTGTATCTGATAGAAAAACCCTTAAGGAGCTGTGCTGCCTTCCATTGTTAGTTTCTTTGCATTTGAGAGCTCCCTGGCTATATAGATTATCTGAGCCAAATCTTTTGATTTGAACAGGAGGCAACTTGGGCAGGTGTGGGGCTCAGCAGTGGAGGATGCCACCTAGAATGTTGGTGTGGCCTATCTGTGTGCCTGGCATCCTGGGCCAACTCCACTCTGCCCTGGCAGGCAGTAAGTCACAATTCAACTAGTTGGGTCCCTGCCGTCCATCTGGGAGAGCTAGCGTACTCCCTGGCGTCTAGCTACAGCCCAGCCTGTGCCCAGAACCTAACGGCATTGGAGAGTGAACGTGTGCTGTCTCTCCTTTTCTAGGAAATGAGAAAAGTTAAATATATAGGAGGAAATTGAAGGCCCAAAAATTGAACCCAAGGCCCTTCCCCTATATTGGTGATGCCTCCAGGATTTGGCACCTATGCCTGCACCCCAGGCACCCCAGGTTTTGCCCATCATCCTGCTGAGAAAGGAAGCATGGATTGCACCCTGGATAGCCCAGGGGACTTTGGGACCAGCAGAACTCAGGGACTTCTCTAAGCCATGGTCCCTTCTGCGGAAGGAGAGGCACTTCACAGGGAGACAGGGGCACGCACACTGAGGACCCAGCAGTCGAGCACAGAAACATTCCTTCTAAAAAGGGCGCAGGTTTGTTTCCTTAGGTGGGCTACAAGAGCCCCTTACATGAACTCAAGTGACAAAAAACATCTCTGCCCTTCCAAAGCAACTAATGCTGCTCCCCGGAGCTGGTGGAAAATGGAATGAAAATAGAAGTGCATTTGCAGGCAGAACATTTTTGAAATCCAGAGGTTTTGGCTTTTTGGTTTTTTTATTTTATGATACATTTTCCACAGACCTTTTGAAGACAACCAGCCACTGTGTCTTGCAGAAAAACTGCAGGTCACCCTGCTGGGTTTTAGATTCTGTACCAGGGGACTTCCTGCGCACCCCCAGAACAAGCAAGCAGCTTAGTGTTACGGGACACTAGGGATGTTGTATGCCCTCTGCCTGCTTTCTTCTCTGAGTCCTGTAGAGCTCTCTACCCTCAGCACCCTATTTTCCTTAGAAAAATGAACTAACAGGAGGAAGGCATAGAAATGGTGACATTTGTGAGTTGCACAGGAGAGGGCCTGTGTCTGTAAGGAGGTTGCTAACGGGTGCCCCTGCTTTCTTGCAGGCCTCTTGGTGGACCAAAGTAAGATCTACAGCAGGGCCTTCTACTCCTGTGCAGCTGGCATGGCTGTGGCCGCCCTGTGCCTGGCCCTGGTGAGACCGTGCAAAAAGGGACTGTGCCAGCGCCAACATTCTGCGAGAACGCCAGCAGAGAGCCACCGGGCGAAAGCTCTGGAAGACATCCCTGAAGACTTTCTGGAAATGGATCTTGGGAAAGCGCAGCCAGTATGACAGGCTCACCTAGGGAGCAGGGGCTGTTAAGGTGGCTAGGGGTGAGACGAGTGCGGGGCGGGGGGCAGAGGAGCGCACTTCTCTGTCCCCCTGCAGCATAAGGGAATGTGGGAGTGAACACACTACCATCTTTTTCCCCTAAAGTTTTCCTTTTCGCTGCTGCTTCTTCTTTTTCTTTTCTTTAAGCCAAAACAGAAACAACGAAACACTCTTCCCTGTATGAATCTGGCTGCAGTCCATAGCAACACAAAGGTCACACTCACATTCCAAGGTTGAAATCATGACATGAAGCGACAAGGGTCCTCTAAGAGCATTTACACGTCATAAGCGACTCTCTAAGAAAACCAGCAGCTCACCCAGGCCATGGAGATTCACCATTCAAACATAAAACCTTCAACCAATCTTTTCAAAGCTTCCAGTATTCAGAAATAGGAATACATTTTATAAATGCTTTGAGAAATACTAAGGTTTTCATTAACAAATTGCGGCCTCTGAAGTTTCCACACACTGCATGGGAATGAAGCTAGTTTAAGATCAAGCATTTGACTAATATAAAAAATTAAATATATATATATATATAGATAGAACTTGCACTTCCTCGAAGGGAAAATCACCACTTTTTATGATCAGTCATCACCAGAAGTATTTCAATGCAGAATATTACCAAATGGCATTTGAAAATGTGTTTCCTATGACTTTTAACTATTCAAAATATGTGATTATAGTGTCTTTAATTTAAACCACTATTTATTATTAAGTTATTCTAGAATGATTAATCAAAAGAAATGAAACATGATCTGAGACACAGAAGCTTTTTTTTTTTTACCTCCTTTCTGCAACTCACTTCATGTCTCCAAGCTTCCTTCCTACCCTGTCAAGTTACTCTGTAAGGCCTCATGGTCATGATTCTTCGGTTGGAGTAGGGGCAGGGTACACGGTTTAAGAGGGGGGAAAATGGATAGCAAATCGCCTTAGCTTTCACAAATCATTTGTTTCATCTCCTACGAATACTTGAGGATCTTCTTTGATCAGCATTACATTTCATTGAATTTGTGGAAACATTTATGATTTTTTTTAAGCATTGAAGAGTTGAAGTATTTCTGTATTTCATGGGAGTAGCAGAGACATTTGCATTCATTACCATCATGAGTTACCAACTGCAACTTAATGTCTTCCGTAGAAGGTGGCTCGTTTGTTCCTGTGGGTTTCACTTACGTGGTGTGTGAGCAGTTTTCTGGAAAGCAGGCCGGGGTCAGGGTGGGAGGTGGGCTTTGGGTCGCCTAGTCTACTGACTCTCACCCTCCGGGTGATGCTCAATGCTTGCTGCTCCATCTTTCTTCATCTTTACTGTTCATTTATGACAACTCAGGGGGAAAAAAATTGTAAACAAGCCTAGTTTGGTTAACAGGTACACACAAGCTTGAATCTTTCTGTGCACTGAAATGAAAGTGGCATAGTTCATCACCACTGGCTAAAGTTTGTATAGCATTTTTATCAGCCATAGAAATAGGACAATCTGTAAACCTCTGAGAAGGGCGGGGCGGCGAGGACCAAGGCTGTGGGGCACTAACCCCGAGGCCAGGCGGGAGGCAGCGGATCTGCCACTGCCTGCCAGGAACTCGGAGTGCGTGGCTGCTCTGCTGACACGCAAATGACTTCAGCACTTTATGACGTATTTTTTTACTATGAATGTTCAATACAATTTCATATTTATAATTGATTTCTGAGGGATCTGCTCTATGTCCATATCTGTTAACTGCATGGGGGAAAAAAAATGTATGCCAACTCGCGTAGGTCAGTAAGCCAAGATTTTACATGTTTGGAAGAAAATAAAAAGCAAAATTGGTGATTTGTTCCATATTAGCGACATTCTGGTACTTCTAGATTTGCAATAAAGTTATGGCTTTTTTTTTTTTATTTAAAAAGACTGAGTTTCTTTAGCTATAAGCTTTTTAATTGACTATCACAGCATTCACTGAGCCAAGTAAAGTTACAGATGGCCAAAGATTCATTTCAAATAAGTAATTTTTAAACTTTCCTCTACTGAAAATTAACTACCAGAGATACATAAAAGATCCCAAGAAGTATTCTCTCCCCACTGCCCTCCTTGCTATTCCTCTTTCATTCAAAACAGGACAACTCTTTATATTGAATCTTTCATACACACTATTTTAAAGCACATGCGAAAACTATGAGTCGTTTAAGCCAAGCATTAAGTAATAGTCAACAGGAGAGGGAAACAAATTAGACCGTACAAGGAGAGGGAATGGAGCCTCGTCCTGCCCTGGAGTGCCCAGCTTGGATTCCTGGCTCTGGCTCCCGGTCCCAGCTTCCCAACCACGCACCCTAGAAATCAGCCAGTGACAGCTCCTGCCCCTTGGAGGGGACCTAGATTGGGTTTCTGGCCTGTGGCTCTAGCCCTGGCCATTACAGCCATTTGGGGGAGTGAATTGGGAGATAAGAGCTTACTTTATATGCCTCAATTATATACTTTAAAATAAAAAAAAACATATATCTATTTTTATTGGAAAGGCAGACCTACAGAGGGAAGGAAAGACAGAAAGAACATCCATCTGCTGGTTCACTCCCCGAGTGGCCACCAACGACCAGAGATTAGCTGATCCGAAGCCAGGAGCCTCTAGGTCTCCCACACAGGTACAAGGTCCCAAGGCTTTGGGTTGCCCTCCACTGCTTTCCCAAACCCCAAGTAGGGAGCTGGGTGGGAAGTGGAGCAGCCAGGACACAAACCAGCACCCATACAGAGGTACTTGGAGGTGGAAGATTAGCCAGTTGAGCTTACCAACCCCAGCCTCAAATAAATTATTTTTAAAAGAAAAAAAATCAAGCAGTATAATCAAAGGAAGAAGCATTCCAAATGTTCCTGGGAAAACAGAATGAAAAGTGGTGGCCATTTGGTGGAAAAGACAGCTTTTTCAGTCTCACCCTCTGCTCCATCACTTTGCCTTTCAAATGAAAAAAAAAATTAAGAGTTATTTTATCTTCTTGTTGCAAAGGCAGATATGCAGAGAGAAGGAGATACAGAGAGGAAGATCTTCCATCCACTGCTTCACTCCCTAAATGGCCACAACATCCAGAGCTTCACTGATCCAAAGCCAGGAGCCAGGAGCTTCCTCCAGGTCTCTCACACGGGTGCAGAGTCCCAAGGCCTTGGGCTGTCCTCTACTGGTTTCCCAGACCATAAGCAGGAAGCCAGCTGGGAAGTGAAGCCAGCCGGGACACAAACTGGTGCCCATATGGGATCCCTGCTGACACAAGGCAAGGATTTAGCCATTAGAGTATCACACTGGGCACTTTTTTTTTTAACTTAAAAAAAAAAAAGTTTAAGTCAATGGCAGGGTGGGAAGTATTTATAAGACTGTGCAGGCCAGAAACTGCACATGAAAGTCAGTGAGCACGGCTGTTTCAATAAAGCTTTATTTATGGTTCCTGAAATTGGGATTTCAGAAAATTGACAACCCATTAAATACTATTTTGATTTTTTCAATCATCTAAAAAAAAGGTAAACACCATAACTGTTAGTGCACAAGCTGTTAAAAGAAAGAAAAAAGGAAGGGAGGGAGAGAAGGAAGGAAGTGGTTGGATGGCTTTGGGCTGTAAGCGCTGTTGCTAGCGTCTGTCCAGGACACCTGGCACAGTGGAAGGGGCCAGCCGCAGCTGAACACCCGCATCTGACAAAAGGGGCTGGATCTTTGACCCAGGTGCCAGGGACAGGAAAGCTCCAACAGCTGATTACACATTTAACAATTAATTACCACTTCATTTCCTGCCACCAGAGATTCCGCCTTGACCTTGGTGACTTAACGTTTTAGTATAAATATTGTCTCTTTCCCACCCCAAAATAAAATTGGTACCGTTGCAAAAATCGGTCAGAGGCAGGTGTTCAGCCTAGCGGTTAAGATGCCCACATGCCACATCAGACCACCTGGGGTTAAAGGCCCGGCTCTGGATTTCTGTAGTATGGCCCAGGGGAGCCACAGTGATGGCTCAACTCCCCCACCACCTTCGTGGAAGACCTGGTTTCAATGCCAAGTGGCCAGCTTTGGGTCATCCTAATCTTGGCACTTGGGGAGTGAATCAGCAGGTAAGAACTCTCCCTTTCCCTCTGCCTGTTGAACAAAAATAATAAAACCAGTTGTTCTTTTCAGACAAATGTATCCTCAACTGACACAATTTTTCTAAACCTTTTAACAAAATTAACCAACTTTACACTCCTGTAATGTATTGTGCATTAGTGAGTATTTCCTTTAGCATAAATAATATCTGGTGATAAAACAGAAAATAGATTCTAATTCAGGATTTCTGGGGATCAGATCCAGGTCACCTGGCAGTATTTGTTACACTTCAATTTCCATATCCCATTCCTGATATCCTAAACCAGAAGGCATCATGATCCTTTTATTTGTAAAATTTCCTGTAAGTTAGGTTCGTTCAGAGGGACACAGGGTTGGTAGTTATTATCTTTACCAAATGGTTATGAACTTTCCTTCAAATGGCCAGTTTAAAGACAATAGGAACCCTGACATGCTAAAAAAACAAAAAAAACAAAAAACCCGCATGCGGGTTCTCAGCCACCAACCGCTAGAAAGGACTGCAGCAGGTGGGCCGGCCAGCACCGACGCATCAGAAGGAAACTAGGTCCCCCTGGTGTTCACTGCTGATAATGACCCAAGCACAGACCGCAGCAGAGCTTGCTCCACCACCCTTTTGTAAAATCTTGCAGCCCAATCAAAATGACTTCTGTTGCCACGGGCTACCTGGAAGAGAAAGTGGCCGGCTCATCTGATACCACAGGATGCACGACCCAAGAGTGTCAAGGGGAATCATGCAGGAAGGTCCAGCTCTCCTTCATTCACATAACCGGCCAGCAAGTCCACTCAAGGACCTCCGTTCACGGCCCAGGCAGCTGGCCACCCTGCACTTCCCACAGACTTCTGCTGTACACTCTCGGCTCTAGACTTACACAAAGGGACTGAGAAAATTCCAGAAAATGAAATAGGAAGAGACTTGATTGGGTTAAAAAATCAAAACAAAACAAGGGACTGGCATTAATCCTCCGTGGCACTGGCATCCCATATGGGCACCAGGTCATGTGTCGGCTGCTCCCTTCCCATCCAGCTTGTGGCCAGAGAAAGCAACAGATCACGGTCCAAAGCCTTGGGACCCTGCACCCACATGGAAGACGCAGAAGAGGCTCCTGGTTCTGTTTCTGATTGGCCCAGCACTGACCGTTGTAAACAAGTGGACAGACGGTCTCTTTTCTTTAATTCTTTCAAAGTTAAATAAATATATGTTTTTAAATTTCAAAGAAATGAACAGATCACTTTTGCCTCACCCACATTTTCCCACGGACACCTGCGAAGACAGGACCCGGATGTCCGGTAGATGTGGGATCCTCTTGCTCAAACCTAGCGCTCTCCTTCTGGGCACATTCAGAGATCCGACTGCTTCGGCCAGCTCTGCCAGTGAGCAACCTACGAGCAGGCCAAGACTTGGCACGACTGTCACAGTGACTTCTGGCTGCTCTGCCTGCAGCCTGTGCTGCAGCACAGCACCCCCTGCTGGAGCTTCCAACGCACAGGCCTGACATACACCCTCTACACTGGCCCCACACTGGCCCTCCACTGGCCCTCCACCGACCTCGGTGGTCTCAGGCCTCCAGGGATGCCTTTTCTTTACTTACATCCATGGTAGGACCCCTCTATGCGGTCACTTCCAAGTGTCGCCCCGCAATGGAGGCATTCCTAACCATCTTGAGACTCTGTCCCTCCCCTCACTGTGTTAGAAGAGTCTGAGCTTACACCTGGGGCAGAGTCAGCTTTCCGCTCCTGACTCTGTTCCCCTGGCTTTGAGTAGATTGCAGGTGACACTTCCTAAACGTGCTAAGTGAATGAAGGAGCTCTTTGTTCATGGTCTCTTCTCTTCACCCCTACAATTACTAAGGGGGGAACCAGTGCACATGATAGCAGCATCACACAGGGCTGGGTCAGCCAGAAGGAGGAATACACCAAGGGGCAAAGAAATTGACATCCTGTGTGATGTGCAGATGGGGGGCTGTGAGCTTTAACCCATCACTGGAGCACACCTAAGCTAGGGTAACTATCTCCCCAAGCCCTTTTCAACTGTCACGCTGGTTTTTATCACAGCCCTAACTGGCAGCCAGTGCTATTGTTGGACATTGTGGCGCGCTTCCTTTGGTGCTAACGTAGAAATACAGACTGATTTTTTTCCACCTGAAGAGCCATGCACGAGAGCCCCCACTGGCACAGAAAAGGTAAAAGCAAATTTATGGTTATCACCCCTTAAATAAACAATCTGCAAGAAATGGTCCCAGTCTGGGCTAGTGGCATTCGAATTTGATGTCTCATGCTAAAATGGATGTAGAACTCAAAACTGGGGAGACGTGGGGGTGCCCTTCTTGCCATCGGTTTACACATACACAGGTTAACTCAGTGACTGCAGGCTTGCTTCCTTATCTGTGACACAGGCTGAACCACCTCACGCTAACACTTCCCATCTTGGCTTTCCAGAAAATGAGAATACATTTAAAGGAGACACCAGGTGGTAGACAATGAGAGAGAAGACTTCCAAAAAAAAAAATCTACAGTCACAAGATCCAAACCGAATCCATGATGAATTCAGAGGCCCTCACTGGGCTCACACCCTCTCAGCTGGAAATCTCTCTCCTACTAATGCAATTCCATGCAGCCTTCAGTCGGGGAGACCACAGGCTGCTATCAGCCCAGAGCTGCCCTGTTTGAGCGGGTCTGGAAGCGAAGGGCAGCCGGCACAAGCCACGTGGGACTGCTGGGATCTTGCAGTGTGTGTG